AATATAGTGTTTTATTATAAAATTGTTTCATCTTAATCCAAATTCCATCTTAGTCCACATGGGTGACAACGCATCTGCGTTTTGATTATTAATCGAGGATAAATGTAGATGTCCTTTGGACAACAGCATCCACATATCATCAGGTGGACTGTGTGCTCGTTGGTCACCAATATTCTTTAAAAAATTGTAAGATATAGTATTAGATTTACTTCATACTTTCATACATACATATATTTAACTCAAGAGAGAACCTTCTATTAAAGGCTATGAAGCACCTACAGGCCTCAATGGTGGAATGAAACTGCGACGTTCTTTATTAGTTAATGATTAAGAATTCATTAGTTGCACTAGTCTTACCATATACCGTGTAGTGGCGGTGTAAGAATATCCACTACACCACCATATCATCTCGTGGGTGTCGTAAGAGGCGGCAGAGGGAAACTGAAACAGGTGATGGGCGGCAGCACCTTCCTGATGACAACTCAAAATAATAAAAAAACTACGGTTGACAACCCACTCGCCAAACGTCTGGCAATCTGTGGGGGAGGCCTATGTTCAGCAGTGGACTTTTATAGGCTTTGGTGATGATGATGATAACATCAGGTGGATTTTCACTTAGTGTTTTAAATATTTATAAAGTATTTTCCTACCGACTGAAGGGGAAAAACCACCTTAAGTTCTGAATCAAAACGTGGAGTAGTATTGACAAATATTGTAAGAAATACCTACCTGATTTTCGACCGACACAATCTCGGGAAGGCTTATTTTTTTAATTATATCTAGCTGTAGATAAAAAAGGATGAGAATATGATTTTTATCAATAATTGGTAATATTTCTAACCAACATAACATACAACAAGGAAATGAATAGGTACACGCAATAATATGAACAGACTTCAGATATGTAATATCTGAAGAGTAAAATGAGCCAGTATCATTGCAGGATGTGAGGCATTCCACTTCCACATCTGCAGTATTCTTTGCTCTTGCTGCTTGCTGAAGTTGGCTACAGGTTCCATGGGCTGCAGTACTAACTTACAATCAGATAGATTATAAGTTCCTTTGTAACTTCAATTAAAAAAATATGTGAACCTGATCTCAGTATAGTTTGGACATGTGAGAGCCTTCAAGTATTGGTTCTAGTCTGACGAGGATATGTGTTTGCAATTATGTCACGATAATATTTCCTGGGCATCAAAAATCTTCGAACATATTTCGAACATAACATATATAAGTACCTTATAAAAAGTACTTAATTGTAGCAACCAATAAAATATTAATGATACAACTGGTTGGTAGTACAGGATGGTAACAGTAGGTGGTCACTGGCTCCTGTACTTTAGTCATACGTTTGTAATTCAAAATATTGAAAACACTGCAGGGATCTGTTCTGAACTGACATTTTAAAGTTCGTAAAGAAAAAAATTAGATTCATTTATATTTTTATTTTTGAAATAATTATACGTAAATGTTTAAATATTTATGTACAATTTTTTAAGCATTCAAGTGTGTGATATTTTTTCCTTAGCTTTTTCTAAATCGGTTTTGAGGAATATTATGTAAAACTACCAATGACGACTTCAACGGTCTTTATTGCATAGCTGACGATGATGCTATACATAATTTTAAACATAGTCAAGTTTTAATTCATTTGATGGAATGGACCTAAGGTTCATAAATCATTCTCGAATCGACGTAATCACACACACAAAATTTCATCAAAATCGGTTCAACCACTTGGGAGGAGTTCCGTCAGATACATACGAACAGTCAGTCAGACATATATATATATATATATATATATATATATATATATATATATATATAATTCTTCTGTCCGTAACACACACGCGTTTGCAAGAAAATACATATTTTCATGCAAACGCGAGGATAAATTTATTTGTATTCGGCTTGACTGTTTTTTTTTTAATTTAAACTATAACAATTAAGTGTCCATGAAGTTAAAGTAAACATCGAATGCCGATAATTTGTAGTTTTTGTTGTTTTTTAAGGGCCTATATATATAACTCAGCTCAAATTCTAATTTCACCCCCACTTCCCCGCGCGTCTTATGCTAGGTACCGACATGTTTGTTCACAAATACTGTAAGTAGATAGGTCGTTAGATTCTTATTTCATTAAGTTTATCATATTTATGCCTGTTTCTTTACACCATTACAGTCGCTTCTTATTTTTATTATGGTTATTTCCCATTTTAATTTTCGTTGTCCTGTTGCGTAATGTGTATTCTGATCGTAAGCGACACAGCTTTCCCGTTTGAAATTCGAAGCGAGACTGATCGGGCGGCAGGAGAAAAGCTTCAAGACGCAGATAGTTTAGGTAATTTCTTTTCATAGTGAAAATATAAAAACATAAGCCCGGCTTTATAGTTAGTTCAGTTAGTATGTAGTTTTATGATCTAATTTCAAGTATTTTATGAATACCAGCGGTTTATTATTGGAGGTAACTTAGGATTTTTTTCTATCGAGATAATTTTACGGTATCGTGTTTTATCTAACATAGTACTTAACATTAATCCTCAACTTTATCATATATTTATTTCAAAATTAATGCTGCAATATTTTCGACATAACGAAGGATCTTGCTAAGCTATTTGAGGTAGTATTTTTACTATTTCCCCTTAAATGTCTAAATTTCTTAGTCACCTAGAAGTGGCTAAGGTTTTTGATGAGTCAGTGAAACAGTGTGTAATTTATTACGCTATTTATAGCACTTTTTAAAAATGAAAATGAAAATGGAAATTGGCAGCGATCACCGAATGGTTAGAGGCACACTGAATCTAATAGATAAGTTAGAGAGGTCTCGTCTAATGAAGTCAACGCTCCTTCCCCTTTTCGTGCTCCAAAGTCCCGAAATCTTTCAGTTCGAGTTACAAAACCGTTGTCAGTGTCTAGAAGAATCCAATGCAGTGGACGATACGAATGATAATCTCGTGGAAACTGTCCATGCGGTGGAAGCCAAGTTCTGCTAGACCCGTAGCAGAAGAACACAAAAACTCGCCGATCACACTCTTAATCTCATGGCTTTCAGACGGGAAATTAAACTGCAGTCTTCAATATATTTGACAGCATATAGGCAACTGAATAGGAAGATCTTCAAATGCATGCAGCGAGACTTACGCAACTTTAATACCGCTCCAAAATCTTTGCCAGAGATCTGTCTACCTGAAAGAGCGTCAAAGCGACTGGGTGTGGCAGCATCGTTTCTGGCATACCACACACACATACACACACACAACACATTTTGAGTGAAATTGGGAGGTTCTATGGGCAGCTGTATACATCATCGTTGGCCACACGCAAGTGTGAGTAACGATCCAAGTGCAAGTCCCATCCGATACTATTCCGATGATATCCCGGATGTCAGTCTGAGCGAGATTAGGATGGCTCTCCAGCACCTTAAAAATGGCAAGGCCCCAAGCGAGGACGGTATTAGAGCGGAGCTTGTGAAATCGGGTGGATAGCCGGTACTTAAAGTCTTTCAGAAGCTCTTCAACTCCATCCTTCGTGGTGGCACTCTGGAGCAGAAGTGCGGTGGTTTTATTCTTCAAGAAAGGCGACAACGCTCTCTTGAAGAACTACAGACCAATGTCCCTTCTGAGCCGCGTCTACGTACTGTTTTCGAGAGTCATTACGAATCGTCTCGCACGCAGACCCGACTACTTCCAGCCTCTCGAACAAGCCGGTTTCCAAAAGGGCTTTAGTACCACAGACCACATACATACCCTGCAGCAGATTATACAGAAGACCGAAGAGTACAATCTGTCAATTTTCCTGGCGTGGTATGGATATGAGAAAGCCTTTGAGATGAATTTGGGCGGTGCTACAGTCTCTTCAGCGGTGCCAAGTTGACTGTCGGTATATCGAAGTGCTGAAGTGTTTATATAGTAGGGCTACGATGGCTATCCGAGTACAGAACCAGAGTTCGAAACCTATCCAACTTCAGAGAGGTGTAAGACAGGGTGACGTTATATCCCGGCCCGAAACTCTTCACCGTTGCATTGGAAGACGTTTTTAAGCTACTGAACTGGAAATGATACGGTATTAACATCAATGGCGAGTACATCACTTACCTTCGATTTTATATAAAAACAACATAGCCCAACGGATTAGTAAACTGAAGTGAGAACGGGCGGGCCATATAGCTCGAAGAACCGACAACCGATAGGGAAAAAAGGTTCTCGAGTGGCAGCCTCGTACGAGTAGGCATTGTGTAGAGCGACACCAGATGGAGTGACGACCTGGTGTGCATGCAGGAAGTCGATGGATGCAGGTGGCTCAGGACCGTGCTTTGTGGAATTACTTGAGGAAGGCCTATGTTCAGCAGTAGACTTGTGAAGGACTGTTATGATGATGTATCATGAAATTACACACAGCCGTTGCGCCCATTTATTTTCTGAACGTGACTGACACTGTCGTGTGTCTGGATCCTACGTCACTACTATTTTGAAGCACAATGACACGTCATTGTAATTCTAAATTATATGTATATATATGTATATATATATATATATATATATATATATATATGTATATATATATATATATATATATATATATATATATATATATATATATATATATATACTACAATGCGTGTTGGCGAACTTCGAAATATTTGATGATATAGGATTCCTCACGATGTTTTCCTTCACCGCCAAGCATGTGGTAAATCCCGGATTGCTCGCGTGCTGTGAATTTATACAGAGAGCGCTAGCCAACTCAGCTATTTGGATTAAAGAGAATTTAAAAAAAGACAACAAATGATTCCTTCAATGATTAGTGTCTATCCGATAAATAGATCTTAAGATGAACACGGACAAGACAAAACTCATGTTAACGTCCATTTCATACCTGTGCAGGTATGAAACGTTATTTCGAGCACCGAGCTCAAAGTTCTTGACGAGTGTGTTTATCTAGAATAAATACGAGTATATACAAAATATTCTAAGTTACTCCAAATTGCACTTTTTTGCAACAGGTCCGCGCACTAGAAGACCAAAGAAGCCGCCCGGGGAGGGAACCACGACTGACGAGAAGCGACCCAGGACCGCATTCTCTGGCCCTCAGCTTGCTAGGCTAAAGGTAAATCAAATCTCAAAAACTTTCAATTAGAATAACCTGCCGATTCATGCTGTTTCATTTTTATATTTTATTTTTAAGCGTTGGCTTTAGACGTTCAGTTCCGATTATCAAAAATCAACTACTGAATAAAACCCCGAAATTGCCTTAAGGGAGATTTGCCACAGTTGCCAGGCGGGTTAACAACCGCAACTTTCATTATTTAAAGTGACCATCAGGAAGGAGTTTTATACGTCGTAGAGCCATGCAGCAGCTATATTAAGGTTGTAGCACGAATGGGTCGGCTCGACCGGGGAAGGACCACGCTCTCACAGAATACCAGCGTAAAATAGCAGCTTAATACTGATGTGTTTCGTATGGTAAGTGTAGAGATCTGGGGACCCTTTATTACTAGAGACGAGGTATTCCATCTTAGTCCTCACGGGTGACAACGCATCTGCTTTTTGATTCTTAATCGAGGATAAATGTAGATGTCTATGGGCTACAGCATCCACTTACCATAAAGTGGACTGTGTGCTCGTTTATCACCCTTATTCTAGATGGAGTGATGCTGCTGCACATCTCTTGCCTCATTTTCCCTCTATCGCCCACGACACCTATGGGATGATAGTAGATTCCCTTGGGACGCTATTACACGGCCATTAATTTATTTGTGAAAGTACAAAAAACATTCAATCAGAATTACTGATAGCCTATATTGAATAAAAATTATGCTCTATTCTTTGTTTTTATAATTATTTCAATGATTTCATATCCTCGACTAGAAAACTGGCGAGACTCTTGCGTATAGAATAACATGATCCTACAAACTTTGTCTGAATGGCGCTTTGTCAACAGCACGAATTCGCTGAGAACCGGTACCTGACGGAAAGAAGACGACAAGCTCTAGCAGCCGAGCTGGGGCTTGCGGAGGCCCAGATCAAAATCTGGTTCCAGAACAAACGCGCCAAAATCAAGAAGGCGTCCGGGCAGCGAAACCCGCTCGCCCTACAACTCATGGCACAAGGACTCTACAACCATAGCACCGTTCCTCTGACGAAAGAAGAAGAGGAATTAGAGATGAAGGCTAGAGAAAGAGAAAGGGAACAGCAGAATCGGCATTGATCCTAATCTTCTAGAAATCCTCGTCTTAGTAATAAATAGTATTGTTTGTTTTACTTGCGAAGAAATGCATTTAAATATTACGTCGTTTTAACTGGTATTAATTCTATTAATTTCATTCGTGTAAAATTGTAATTAACTAGCATTTTTTCATTAGCTTCTAGATTTTTCTAGAAAGTAGATAACAATATCCTACAGATTGTTTACTAAAATACATGGGAGTTCAAAACATTTTGACAGCACTAAGTTGAACTCATTCCTTCTTATTACAAAAAGTATAAAGGAGTCCGAACTTAAGAAGTCCTTTAAAAGAAGGCACCCAACTTACGTGAAATTTTACATTCTCAGTCAAACTTCATACTCTTTTTGTGTAACGAATTTTAATAATTATAAACAGTTTTTGTAATAAGATCGATAATGTCGTTTATTTTACTATTTTTTTTTAACATTAATTATACATAAACTATTACAATACATAGAAAAGAAGTTGCACATACATTTATATGTATCACGAAATTATGTAATAACATTCAAAGTATTTTTACAATGGATGCTGATGTATTTTCTAATCAATGCGTAGATAAACATTAACATATACAATAGATGCGAAATCAATCATTCGAAAGAAACCATTCGAAATGTCTTTAAGTGAATTATAACTCAATAATCCATCCGTTACAGTCTTTAAAAGTCCACTGCTGAACATAGGTTTCCCCAATCGATTGCTGTCTAGGGACAGGGATGTTGCTACAGTTGCCACGCTCTGCAATCGGGTTGGCAACCGCAGTTTTTTATTCTTTAGAGTTGTTATCAGAAAGTTGCTGCTGCTCATCTCCTGAGTTAGTTTCCCTCAGTTGCCTCTTACGGCACCCGCGGTATAATAAGCGGTAGTGGATATTCTTACAAAGCCACTAAACATGTATTCGTCAGCTCTCAAAATTTCTAATATAAGTCACTGCTAAAATACAAAGTATGGTTAATGGTATAACCGGTTACAATTAGGTGTAGTCGAATGCGGTTGGTTAAAACTAAGTGTATTTGATTCGTTTTCAAACTTTGGCTGGTTGCTTTTGAGTTGAGTCTAATAAAGATCACGTAATATCAGCGACGGATTAGTATGATGAAGTGGTAATGGGCCATATAGCTCGAAGAACCGACAGCCGGTGGGTAAGAAAGGTTCTCGAGTGGCTGCCTCGTATCGGTAGGCGAAGTGTATGGTGCCCCCCACTAGATGGAGTGACGTCCTGGTAAGACATGCAGGAAGTCAATGGATGCAGGTGGCTCAGGACCGTGCTTTGTGACATTCCTTGGGATAGGCTTATGTAAAGCAGGAGACCTGTGAAGGGCTATAATGATGATGATGAATATCAGCGACAATTAAAAACTGGTTACATGTTCATTCTTATACACCTAGAACCAACCATATTTGTTTTCATTTATCTATAGTCGGCTAGGCCTAGTTCCACCCGCACTTTGGCTTTTAGCCGTAGCATATACGAGTATATATTTTTTAAACAACATCGATTTTAATAAAAACTTGATCAGGTATGCATACAGCATCGAATTTTATCAATTTAGAGACGGTATTATCAATTCTTCTAGGGATGTGCGAGACGTAGCTCACAAACGTACACGCGTAAGTCGTAATACGCACGATTTCGACAGATATAGTCATCTCGAATTTTAAACTTTTTAAAATCGAAATCATTATTTACATGATATTTATCTTTAAAAAAATTAAACCGACTTCATAACTAAAAGGAATAATATAATTTCCACATAATAGCTTCTGAAGCCGGGACTTTAAGTTTCATAAGCTACTTGCTATCCATCCATCGATCCATCCAACCTATAAAAGTCCACTGCTGAAGAAAGCCTCCTCCATGGATGCCTCATATGGGGATTTTGCTTTTGATTTAGTCCTATTCCTACTCAGTCGGTGTATCCTTTCTTATAAAGTTTAATAAATTTAATCTTTTGTGTGATGTAAGGCTCAATTTACAATGCTGCGGAACTGAATGGAATGGTACAAAAAAAATTTGTAACGAAATTGTACATAGTAAAATGAGTCTTATGTTAATTGTGTAACGCGCAAACTAGATATGAGCCAAAAAAGAAGTCGCGCGTCTTCCAGGGAATTTTCGAGCATTCCCGTAGCTACTGTCGGCGAAGTATGTGAAATTCGCGGGAGGTGGCGCGTAGGGCGTGGAATCTAGACTAATTTTTCTACAGCCCCAAGACGACTGTCGCATAGTTCAATGGCGAAGTCGCGCATCGTATCGCGTGTCGCGGCGAAATTGACGCTTCCATGCTATTCCATTCCGCCGCAATGTAAATTGAGCCTAAGGAATATCACGAGTTCAAGGTAATTTGAAGTTGTTTAAATAGGTACATTAAAATCTCTATCCGCTATATTCCACCTTTGGAAATGAAATTTTTCCTTAAGATGTATATGATGTATGTATACAATGCCCCCTTGAAGACCTATAACATAAAAACTCATCTTAATTTGTGGAGCCGTTCCCGAGAAATCGGTAAACAAAGATTTAAAAAAACTTACTTCGAATTTAGAACCTTGTCGAATTTTGATATAACTTAATTGAATAAAACTGATTTTACAGATGTTATATTACCACGGTCAATTTTAACAAAAATGTTATAACTTAGTCCGGTTCCGGACGCATGGTTACCGTAATTAAAACCATAGTCAAGCATGATTTGCCTCAAGCATCTCGCATTAAGACATCAAGATGCTGTGAGCTATTTGTGCGTAGATCGGAACGAAAATAATAATTGCTAAAGATGTCAAAATAAAAACGATAAAACCCGGAAAATTACACGGTTAATATAATTGAAGAGTTATTTCTAAAACAGAATTCGGAAAAGAACAGTTTTAAACTCAATTGTCTTTGTAAAATGACATGTCAACGCTTAATGATTTCGCTGCAACAAATTGTATTTAAACACGCAAAACGAAAATAATTTTGAGGATTTGTATTTGACGGTAGATTTGCTAAGGATAATTCTGATAATCATTTTTAAGATTTACAATAACTAATATTGACTCATAAATTTTGAAAACTACATCAACTGTAAGTCGATTCTGAACGTCGCTTTTTGTATTTTTAATGAAACACTGGATAATAATATCATTAATTAAAAAGTAAACAATGAGTAAAGTTCACTGTTCTAACTTAAACAGGACTATTAAAGCATTTTAGTTGCTAGTGAAATAAAGAAAAATATTTTTTACCATGGCAACTGTCATTAATGAAAGTAATAGGTGTCTTAACTTTAATTAAAGATAAGAAAGTTTTGGCATAAACAAAAGGGTTGTAACTTGATATATAATAAAAATGTTCGTGAAATGGAACAAAATGGAGTAAAGTAAGTACTTTAGTATATTTCTTACATGTCAATTAAAATATAAATTTACTACATTCAATGTTTTTTTATCTGCGAGAGAAATTTACTGAGAATATTTGCAATTCATTTAATGTGCGTACTTTGTAAACACTCGTAATGAACAGACAAACATGTCGTGTTGGATAGTATGATATTTATTCATTAACACAGTCGACTGATTCTTTACATTGTTGATTCTTATTTTGAGTCTACGTTTAGTCGTTGCGAACGGGACTTCAATCGGTCAGAATAATATACTCCTCGCGAATATTATAAACTTAATCTAATTAATTCATAATGTGTTTTTACTAACTTATTATACAACTACAGATTAGGCTGTGTTTTAAATTTGAAAGTAAATTTTTTATTTATCAATGTTGTTAAATCTTTCTTAACTTAAATCTAAATTCATACTAAGACATTGAGAGTTCCTGGAGAGCTGTCAAAATTATATAATATCCTAGAACGCAAATAAAACCACGTTTGTTGTGGCAACTTTAAAAAATGTGGCTATATTAAAAATGAAAACTATTATAAAATTTTGGGTTTGTCCCATTTTTGATGATTGAGTGCAAAATGAAAGATGTCGCTTATGCGAACAACGCGACTTTCGCAGACACGCTTAAGAAAACGGGCCCCATATATTTACGGATGCATAAAGCGTATCATACAGACACAACCCGCTGTTGGAATTGAAATATGAAAGAATAAAATCATCACGAAGACCACAGAAGGCGAGCCGTTTGGTTTTTTGTTCCGCTTGTCGGTTCAACTTCGAACGACAACCATGCATATTCATGTCTTAAAATTGTATTTATGTACATATACTATACTGTTTTAATATATTTCTCATCTCTGGTGGTATTATATTTGAAGTAACTAACGTCATTGCTTGAAGCGATTGATTGGATTTGTTTTTAAAAATAACTTGGGCGATGATAGATGCATTTGTAGAAAAAAAATATTGCACAGTAATTTAAAATTATGCAATTCATCATTTTGTTAAGTTAACTGTTGTAACTTGAATTATTATATAGAATGAGTCATTAATTACAATTTAAATTGTTTAACTCAAAACATGTCATTACATTTAGCAGTAAAAATTTTATTACTATCTATACGTTAAAAACTTTTGTTTAACTTAAAACAATTCTCTTCCGTTGATTTGGTATTAACTACACCTAAATAACAAAACGGAAACACAGAAGAAATAATAATTTAATAAGACTCGCCATTATCCACTTACCTAATAACAGCGACGTTACTATTAAAGTAAGTTAAGCAATTTGTTAATAATTCAATCTAGCTCTTACGTGTCCCACTCGATTTGTATAGAACTACGAAAGCTGTGTAAATATAACGTTAGAGATTAAAAATAACAAAGTAATTAAGTTATTTATTGTGCAATGTAGCAGTATTAGTAGAAAAAACTAGTTTGACGATATTCTTAAGAGACGTTCTGCCATTGCCTTTATTTAAAAAATAATGTCATAACTTTCACGGCATTTTTATAACCTTCAATATTTATAATCATTTTTAATCAAAGCTATTGTAAAATACACAAATGAAAACACGTGATCACATATTGACAGTTTTTT